AAAAAAAAAAAGAAAATAATATTGCATAAAACAAATACACACTTACCCACTGCATGCACTACAGAGTACATTCTTGCTAAGTTGTAGTTTGGTTGTCTTGCCATTATAGAGATCTTCTAAAGATACTCTGGGAAGGAAAAAAAAATCAAATTCAACTAAAATTTTGCCAAATTTCTTAAATATAAGATATAAATAGCAGGTACAGCAAATTCCATGGTAATTTTTTAAAACAAAAATTAAAAAAGACCCCACATTAAATCAGTTCGATGGACACATCTTATTTTGTAGCTCAAATTTACAGAAAGATTTTAAGACTACAGACAATGTAAATGGTGCTCAAAGTCAGAATCTACAGCATCACACCAACAATTCACTGTGGCACAATTTCAGATAGAGCTGATAACTGCACAAACTCAGTCATTAAAACCTTTTTCTGGCCTCAGGCACGAGCCCTCCATCCAAGTAATTCTTAATCACAACCTTCTGAGATAGTTATCCCCATTTTACAGAGAAGCTAAGTAACTTGTCCAAGACAAGGCTGTACCCCCCACCTACCCATTACAAGGAATACAAAAAGTTATATTACAGCTTAAGGGAGGTGTTTAGACTGTGTCTCAAAAAAAGTGGCCTTGGGCTAAGAAATGTATTTTGGTGGTAGAACACCTGCCTGGCTTGCATTTGGGCCCCGGGTTCAGGTCCCAGTATTGCAAAAGAACAAAGTAGATTTACCTACACTGTGACAGAAAGGAGGAGGCAAAATAGGTTTTCAACAGAATGTCTCCAAGTTTTAGAGTGTCTGAAGATTCCACTTTATCATAAGCAACACTGAACAACCTTTACCAAATTTTCAAAGGAGTCAAAATTTTCAGAAGTTTAACTGAAAAGCCTATTATCCACTCATAAATGTGTATATGGTAAAATGGCATAAGGAGAAAAAGCTTATTAAAAAAATACAACTGCTAAAATTTAATTCACTTTTATTCATAAATAGTACATTTGAATCACAGTACCAATTTCCATACCAGCTTTAAAAACTAAACAAAAACCAAAACTCCTGGATTCAATCCCCAATACTACAAAACAACCAACTACATCCAAAACTATATACAGCAAAAGTCTCACCAATACTATTCATTTAGGACTTGGCAGCAAAGCCTTTAATATTTTTAGTTTTACCATTCTTGTTGTCTTTCAATCTTATCTCTTTTTCCCCCCAGAGTTGGGAATCAAACCCAGGGCCTCAGCCATGCTAGGTAAGTGTGTTCTACCACTGAACTATATCCTCAGCCCCTAAACCTCCTTTAGTAGTATTAATGATTTACTTTTAAAAAACTGGGAGTTAAGGGGCTGGGGTTATGGCTCAGCACAGTCGAGTGTTCGTTCGCCTAGCATGTGTGAAATCCTGGGTTTCATCCTCAGCACCACATAAAAATAAAACAAAAGTACTGTGTCCAATTACAACTAAAAAGTAAATATTTAAAACAAAACAAAACAAACAAAAAACCTGGAGTTGAAGAAATGAAGAAATACTTTAAAAGGCACCTATACTATTCTGTGGTATTCAAACTTTCTCAAAACCATTCTTTAAGCTAAAACTTTCATACACTGCAGACTGTATAAAAATAACATTTATGGACACAACAGTACCAACAATTCCAGATGACACATCTACATCTCAAGTCTTAAACTTATTCGTCGCAACTATTTTTTTCTCCCACTAAGTACCTTTATCCAAA